GTAGAAACAAAACCACGTTTCCCGTCGATTGCGCACTAAACGGGCGCCGCAATTTTGAAAACACTTATATAAATTTTGGTCGTATTCGACTCAAATTCGGAACATGCATATTCATCAACTTATGACTTTTCAGGATCCCTTCTTTCCTTTACCGCGCTAGATATTCAAGTCTTTACTGGCTGCCGGTGTAAGATTTAAAAATTCTATATCAAATGAACGTGTGAAGTAAATAAGCACACTTATTTGATATTTTGATTCAGAACATTTTCGCTACATCAGGCACAATGCAAGTAAACAGAATATTTATTTGACGAATTCTATTTCAATTTTCTAAATGTATACTGCTCGATAAAATGTTCCTTATTGTCTATTACAATAGAAAATATTCTTTAACAGAAATCAATGAACCAATATCCCGAGAAAAATATCCTCCTTTTATGTAATTTCAAGCATTTGCAATTATGAAAACAAATTTTTCTATTTCTGAAGCTCTCTTATGATGATATCAAAATTTAATTTATTTTAAACTAATTTATCTTCTGTTTTGGCTTAAATGTTCAGAGAATTTTATGACGATATATTCATTTCCTTATCAATTAAGTAATATTATATCATTTTCTAAGACTAGCAATGGCTTCCATAATTACACTGTATTTGACTGATTACAAATATCACAATTTGCGGTTTGCAATAACAAACCTCTGTCGAGTTATGAAAAAATTCTTTATAGATAATGGAATTTGTCGTTTCTTGTACATGTATATTGACCTTCAACATTTAATATTTAGTTTTAATACTGGCATGTGTCGTGTAATTATGGTTGCATTCAGTATGCAATTAAAACAACCTTATAACAATGAGTATTTCGCTAACTGCTTAATTTAGACACCTTGCGAATGTAATGGTAACATAAGATCGTACAACCATATCACACATACATCCTGCAGAAACAATGACATAAGTCAACTGATAAAGTCTGAATGGAAATGAAATTTGGAAATTTATAACCAATTTGTCTCCTAGATTGAAAACACAAATAAAACATGTATAAGTTTGTTATATCATGTGCTATTACGAAGTCATAAGTTATTTTCGATTTTGGAAGATAGTGCAATATACAGATACAAAAAGATGCACCGATTCCAGAAACTTCTCCTGGTTCTTTATCGTGCCAAGCTTTTAGGCACTCATACACAGGAGCGAATATTTATAGTCTTATCCCACCAAAAATTGTTTTACTTATTTTAGTTGGCCATTTAGCGTTGTACTTTTGTAAAGCTATGTAAATGAAAGCCTCATGATAGTTTATGAGAATCTGTGCTAATAATTTCCATAAATTATTTTGACTCATGGATAACACGTTCCATAATGATATATCGACTTCAGATCCAGACACAACGTACATCAGACGTTATTCTTTCATGGTATAATTGTTATCAATTTCAAAAATTTAAGGTCAACGGTGAAAGGTCATCGACAGATATCATGACAATTGATCTAGGCAATTGAAACTTTAAATGTAGATATACCTTGAAAAGTTACATGTCATATATCCGCCATAGATCTACTCGTTTTGAGTCAAAGGGTTTCAATTAAGTCACTTCTTCCTTTGTAAAGATTTTCATTAAGAATGTTGACGTAGATAACGACATAAAAACTTGAAACGCCCTTTTTTGGGTCCAAATGTCAAAGGTCAATTTGACCTTTAATTCAAATTAATCTCTTATTCAGAAATGGTACAATTTACATATCACTGAACGATAGCATAAATTAAACAAGATGGAAACACTTATCTCAATAAAATATATCATGAACGTAGGCAAAATAATGGTATTCAAGAAGGAAATGTTTGACATTCTAATAGTATTCTTTTCTATTACAGGCATCATATTATAACAATTTTTATTGACATCTACAGTTATAAGTATTTTAAGTAATATATTTTTTTTTTCATAATTACAATGGTGGTCAAGTGAAATGGTGGTCAAAAGGTTAAAATAAATGCCTCTCAACCAAGAAATAGTTTGTATTGTATTACAAGAAACGGCCATGTTCCCTCATATGACACCTAAAAACATGAACTTTTCCGAAGTCAACTTTGTAAACCTATTCTTTTGGTTTCAGGTATGGTCTGATTCAAAATTCGTTAGTTTTATTTCACAGCCACAAAGGTAAACGCCAGAGACTGTTTAACACTATATACCTTAAATATAAATTATATATAATATATATAATATATATATATAATATATATATATATATATATATAGATTGTCTTCATATTCTGATAGAAGGTATGTTAAAAACTCCTGTTACATGTGCTATTTTATTTGGCCTATTTCAAAAACAACATATTTTTTATGTCCTGAGAGTACAGAATTTATTTGCATATATATGATACATAAAGCTTTCATTTCACCTCAAATATTGTGGTCAAAGAATAATGGAGGTGTATGCATATATTGTTCAAACTCTGAAAACAAACAAAATGTTTAATAGACAAAACTATTGTTTTCATCTTTTGCAAAGTTGCACCTACGTGTAGCATTCTTTTTGGAATAACACGTTATAGGTCTAATGATTCCGCACAATTATCCAGTATTTCAAGAAAGAAAATTCAATAGTATTAAAAATATAAATATATGATGAACATTTCTTTAAAACGTTGAACAGAACGTCAAAACATGCAATAAATCAACTCCATTAGTATTTCATTTACATTATTTAATCACTCTTTTAAATTACAAATATAGATTACTTTGAATTTAACAAAAATAAATATTTTCTTGACAACAAGGTGGTTGACGGTTAGTATTACTATTGAACTAGTATCTACATTTATTCCAGCCAAAACATGGACTAATAACTCATTAGAAAAAGTGAAGCAAAGAACAAAATTTTGCACGCATGTATACAACGATACACACAGTTCAATTTACATTCCACTGTAAACAAAAACATAAAGTGTCGACTTTGGAAAGAAATGTAAAACCATGATATCTGTTAAAGGGATACTCAGGCAAAATAATGACAAAAATATAAAAATGACCTAGTGTACTGAAATCACACTAAAATGACATTTCTTGAAGTCCCAGCATGAATTTCTGTATATATTCTATATATATTGGGTTTAAAGCTTAAATATATCTATATATGTTGAACGAAATTAAGACGCCAACAGAATCAGCGAATAGTTTAAAAACAAGTCATGTGATTTGAACAAACCCTGTAAGTTACAATAACAGGTATTGTGGATATTTTATGATTGAAACAAGTCTAAGTAATTGATTTGACATGTTCTTGAATGTTTCCAGAGTGCACAGTGACAACTATTATGAAATCTTAGCACTCTAACCTGACCCACGCGGGTCAAGTTAGGAAAACACCATTTTATTCTTTATATGGAGAAAAGTTTTGTTCCTTTGACTGTTTAGTGTATTTATTTTGAGGACATTTACAGAATAATGAATGAAAAATTCAAAACTAAGAAATGAAAATTTTGCCTGTGTCTCCCTTTAAAAGACAAGACATTTCAGTAATGCCTTATATAACTCTACATGCATCCAGCATTCTCTTTATGTAAACTTAGTGCCTCTTTAAAGTAATTTAGAAAGAATGATATTATAATGAAAATATGTATATGAGGAAATAAATAAAGATCAATACAAAATCATGGTGATAAATACTTCGTGAAACATGAATAACATACCATTTTGAGAAGTAAATTTTTATAGATGGAAAGACTATGTACATATATACCAGATTCGAATCGTTTCGGTTATTTATGTGTGCTCGCGCGTGGGTGCGCCAAATATTAAAAAATATTTTGAGAATAAAACAATAAAGCATTTTCCGGACATAATGGGCTTTTAACTTCAAAGATTATTGTGCAAAACATTCAAATGAAAGATATAAAAATTATCAGTATCGCATGTGGTATCGACGGGAGACATTATAATGAATTACAGTTTTATCTTCTTCATCAATAAAAACAAGAGAACTTTATTTGTTGTTTCTCCCTTGTTTCATCCAGCGTTAAACAACAACAATACTTCCATCATCTATAGCTCTGTACTTCTTAAATCTGAAAATAAAAACTAGTAAATGAATTTCAAAATAAGAAGGTAAAAGAGGATATTTGAACATGTGATTTCTACATCATAGGTTGCACCTTTTTTCAACATGACTTTTCAATTGCATATAAGTATATAACTGTGCCATAAGAATGAAATAAAGCTAAAAGTATTGTTTCGTATATAAATGATCTAAAAATGTAACATTGAAATTACCAGTGTAAACCTTGTCTGCATCTCTTTGATCACTAAGACTCTCGTAGTTACTAGCATCATGATCTTGATCTCTTGTAACAGCTTCTTCATCAGTTCTTGTGTTGTTATATATGTGAATATTTGTATTTTGACGGTCATTTTGCGATTGTGGTCTTGATGGGTTTCTGTAATTAAATCAGAGTCTTTGTTACTTTAATAGCATGCGGTCTTGTGACTTTAATAATTCACTTAAATTATGGATAAAATAGTAATATACACTGCTTTGTCTCTAAAAAAATGAAGTTTGCTGTATTATGAATTCGTTAAATAACTTTTTCATAGGTTAAATATTCGTAAACAAACTGTTGTGTGAAATATATATACATAAACAACCGATTATAGAGCATATTTAGTTCCTGTTGGGGATTATTTCATGTTTAGAAGATTACTTTCATTATCACACCTATCAACATCATCCTCATCGTCATCATTTTATTTATTTATTTATTTATTTATTTATTTATTTATTTATTTTATAAAGGTTTATCATTATTTACAAATTAAATACAAATCTTGTTTATTTTTGCAACACACATTATTACATAACAAACTTCTGCTTTTGTTTTTTTTTACACATTTTGCTAAATATTTAGTACTTTAAGAATACTTTGTGAAATAAGAAGATAACATTTAAAATAATACTGTGGTAATAGGATATGTTGTAAGATAAACAAACCGTTGTCGAAGACTGTTTCTTTCCTGACTCTGCTGACCTGTTGAAAAAGACAATTTTGAACTGATAAACATACAGTTTAATCTTTGTCACAATGTATTTCATGGCAGGATTAAAGCAAAAAGAAAAAGCAGATTGAGCATTCCTTTAAATTAATAACAATGCAACGCTTAGATAAATAGTAATGCATTTTATTGTGGTAAACTCAACGTATAGCTAGTTCAGATGAAGGTCTATACTATATTTATCATTACCCGCGGTAGTAAGGTTTGTTAACAATAATGTCAAACTAAGACTGTACTGACCATACAAGATATGTTACCAACCATAACATCTTACAAACGTTTGCTTAATGACACAAGAAAACAAAATATATCGTCAATTAAAGCATATTTAACTGACGGCTTATTTTAAAACATTATGTTATCATTGATCTCGAGGTAAATGGTGCTACACTTTCGATTTTTTATGGTTTAAACCTTTAACTGCTATTCAAAAAAAAAAAATCAAAATACATTACCCTTTATACAAAACAATATTCTTTCTACGAGAAAGCACAATTAGAAACTGATGATTGTTTATGATTAACATTATTTAAATGCTGTTTTTCTTTGTTTTGTTTTTTGGAGGGGGGCGGGGGGTTGCAGAAAATAGTAAAACACGGCGGTCAACGTGGAATCTTCTATGTGACACGTTCGTGTAATTCCATGACAACAGAAATGCGCCAAAAAATTATTGGGCGAAACTAAATAAATTTTAATTTTGGCAAATGATGAGAGGATATAAAGTCTTCATAGCACAGACAAGACATCAAAATACAACTTTGAAAAGAAGGCAATATATCCCAATGCTGATTATACAGTATTCAGTTAGGAATACTGAAACCATTCAAGTTAAAAAAAAGTCCATTCGATAAACATAAAATATCATAAACATTTATACACAGCAATAATGTCGAGCTGAACTATCTTCAATGATAGAAAATATATAACGGCGGGGCTTTTAACCGCCTCCACACAATACAAATGGTACTGACGTGACCATGATGAATAAACGAGAAAAAAATTAGAAACCGCCATTAAAGGTTTATCAGTCTATTAAAGTATGCTATTGTTACAACAACTAACATATGTTTACCTTGATTATTGGTCCGTGTTTTCCTGATGACAACGGCTATGACAACAACTATTACGACAAGTGCTAAACATACTCCGACAATGATACCAATAAGTGTTCCATTTCCTTTGTCTGACAGTTCAGGCATTTGTCTTTTGTTCCCTGGTAAAAGCCAATTGAAGACAGTTTTTGACATTATGTATTCACTTAATATGAAAATAGAAGTAGATTTAGATACATTGCATGGGAACAAATAGAAGGTTAACATTGCCCCTTTTTCAATACAAAGAAACATGAAAAACTCGTAAATGTTAAGATAAACACGCAAATCTTCGTTTGAAGAATATCTTTATGTACTTCAATATATCAAGGACATTTTAACATTATAGTAAATTACAGCAAGCTCGGTTTCATGGATACTGACCATAAACAGGAATAAATGCAAGCTATGGCCCATGTCACCCCAGCACCAATTTAATAGAAATCAACGTTTAACGTGAAATGGTGAGATTTCTTTATCATGTTTATCATGAAAACGTTAGTGTCATTTCATGAAAAGCGGTCTATGGTAGAAATAAAGCTTTTTAAAGACAAGTTAAAAAGGCAAGGAACATATCCGAAGAATGATTATACATTATTCAAATAAGAAAACCACACAACTAGAAAAAAGGAAAGAACCGAAAGTACAACAATCATAACAGTTATGTCCAATCATAACAGTTATGTCATACTGAACGATCTTCGTTTAGTGATCGTAAAATAATGTATAATTTCTGATTGATTGATTTTACAGACACCTTCCCAATGCACAATCAACGTTGAGTTGACGATAAAAAGAGAACTTGAAATTTTTCTAGTTTTTAAAAGGGGTCCGAGTAAAATCCAGTTTTAATAGTATTTTTAAATGATTTTTTCCTGAAACCATTTCAAGCTGAAACCCCAACTCTCAAATTGGGTTAACACTTCTACAAGCCGACCCATTTTAAGCTTTAAAAATCAAAAAAACCAGTTTTATTTAAAGCAACCCTTATAATGATAATTGCATGTATACTTTGTGTTTTTCAAGAATAACTTAGTCTTGTAATACTATCTAAAATAAACTTCAAATCCCTCATTGCCAACAGACTCAATCAAACCGAGTCTGCAATTCTTGTGTTATTTTGTTGTGATTAATGCTTCCGAGGGATCACTTTGTTTCCAGAATTCAATAATTTTATATCTAAGAATACAAATTATCATTTTGATAACAAAACTGTATAAGTGTCTACCTATTAACTTGAGTTTATATTGACTCGTGGGAATTAGCTTACATGGAAGTTTAATTTTCTTTGTGTCTCTTAGGTCCAGGTCCTGAAATTCTGCACATTGCCGGCAGAACATGTGACAGATCCTTTACCATTGTCCCTTCTTTATGACATTCTTCAAATTAACGACATTCCTGTTTTTCCACGCGCCATGAGGGGAGACTCATGGGTTTACTTGGTTTTCCTTTCTGAACCCGATGCTTATGCCTGGCTTGCCAGGAAGTTTAGACTCCCGGGCAAGCCGGATTTGAAATTGTTAGGGGTTACATACGATACAATATGAAGCTGGATCTACGAGTAAAATTTTGATTTCAAGTTTTGGATTGTAGATTTGGAGGGAAACTGAAATAAATCATTTGAGAATATCATAAATTGATTGCCGATTTTAGGTAAATTTTATTATAAATTTGTTATGTTATTAACGTGACATCTCTTAGCCATTGTGCTCAGATAATATCTAAATTACAATGTATTTAGTGTTAATGTTATATTACAGTTATTAAAAAAACAAAATTTTTTTGCAAATAGGAAATGGTAAATTTCATATTTTCCATATGTTTGGGTTAATATTAATTATATTTTTCTGTTTTATCAAGTTTACTGCATAGAGAAGATTGTTGAAAATCTAAACAACGGTCATAAGGTTTACAAACAATCACATCTTGTGGGAAAATCAAAACTTATACAAAGAAAGTGCTGGCAAAGCACAATTGTTACAAACAAAGTCCAAAGCTCCAGGAAAAAGGCCACTTTACCAATACTTTTCCAGACCATTTATAAAATGTGTTGGCATGCTTAGTTTTCAGAACATATTCCATTCGTAACAAATTTGTTAATTTTTTGTCTCTGTGGCAAAATAAAATGATTGGCATCCGCCGGGAAAAGCAAGTTTATCTTTTTTGAATTTTATTCGATTTTTTTCCCAATAAACCTGAAGCATCCCAGGTTTGAATTATGCGGTATATTTAGCTAATTCAAGTGACATTGTGCCCGTCTAAGTGTAAATTGTGGGTGTGAAGGTCAAAGTCAGAATAACTTAGATTTTTTCATAATCGTTTTCAATTGTATAGTCCCTAGGTCATGTGTAAAATCAATTATCCACGTGACTCACCGAAATTCTATATATATCCCTCGGAATGTATCGTTAACATTCCATTTATGGAGGGGCAATCTTTTTATATTTCAGGCAGTTGAAAAATAGTACCCTTTACATTTTTTTGTTATCAATTTTGACGATTATAATATAAACTCTTTTAAACTATAAATCAGCTTACTTTAGCAAGGTAAAATTAAGTATAATGCCCACTTTTAATCGACTGGCAAACCCATTCATTTTGTGATTTATATAATTTTTACATTTAGCCTGGCGTTTTAAATCACAATCTCTTGAATATCCGTTTACTTTGAAATTGTCGGGTCGTAAAATGTTTCAATAATTAAAGATGTTTTCCCTTCCCAATACTCAATCGAGCGTGAAAAAACACTTACACAACAAAGTTTTACTTGTTTCGCTTGGGGAACAATATGATGGTTGGCATTGTACACATTTATTATAGCTACAGCAGACGATGCTTCTTTCCGTGCCATTCTCGTTTGAATGTTTGTGAAAAGGTGATAAAGTTACTGTTATAACCGAAGTGACCTGATTGAATTTAGTTGCTCGTATCTACACCAGACGACACTATTAAACCGGAAAATATTTAAAGTAAAACCATCGGAGAAGGTTCTTGAGCTTTGACTCAGACAACAACGGATGTGAACAGGATTCCCCTTCTTTTTAGATTGGCTTGGATGCTACTGAATAACATTAAGTAGGGGGGGCTCTGTAGGAAATAAAAGATTTGTGATTATATTTTAATATATCCCCAAAGACACTTATGATTTTTATCATTTATTAAAAATAATATCGATTTCAATAAGAAGAAAAACTGGCATAAACCCTAATATAATGTCATAATGAAAAAGTTGCAATTGCGGCTTGACTGAGCCTTTTCATTGGCACGCTTTACGAAAATAAAATATTAACCTTTGTTTTCATAAACAGATTATATTCAAAAATTTTGAATTCACTCAGTCTAAATTAAAAAGTTGATAATCCTATAACTATGTTTAATTTGTATTACGTGTTAACTTTAAACCTTCTATTAGAGAATTGTTGGATAAAAGATTATTTAACAAGATAAAATATATAAAAACTATGATCAGTTGTATGTTATAGTTTACTTTGACGTCCATCGCTAATATCTTCATATTACAAATGTCATACTGTATAGATGTGTTCTTTACAAACACGTTGTTTTGCCCCTTAGTAAGTAAATTTATTGTTGGAAAGGGATTGGGTTTTTACGTTTTCAGTTTAATTTTTTAAGTTAACCTTTTGAGACTAATTTTTGAAACGACTTATCAATGCATTAACGTTAACAATACATTGATCTACGTACATAGTTTTGTCTTATGGAAAAATTATATACTTCAAATAAACTTGACATACGTGTAAGACTAATTTTATTTCAATGTCCTTTATCAAATTAAGCATTATTCTTCAACAATTTTAAAAAAAATTAAAAATGAGACCAAAAACCAATGACATAAGGTGGGTTAATTTGTTTATTCTATGATAACATTATTAACTTACTTATAACATTACAATTTGCGTATTGATAAGTTGATGATTATTAAACACCATACTTTACTGAACACGTGATTGTGGCATTGTGATGGTAACGGTCAGCAAGTGTGATAAATGCCTATATAAATCGATTGTAATCATCGTCAGAAATTGCAAAGCTTTGAATAATTCGTCTTTTTACTGCAAATTTGACACATTAACTGGGTGGTGTCCCGCCCAATTGTCTTGCCAATTGAACTTTTAATGTTGATTCTCTTTGTCAGAAACCAACAATGCATTTTCCTACATGTTCCCAATTGTCCTGCAAAACCTACAAAATTCTGGAGCACTGGGAACACCTAAAACATAAATATAGCACATGTATACGCAGTTAAATTTTGGACCAAAACAAATTAATCAGCCAATATTTTAGTAAAGTTTTATTTTGTTATAAGTTTATGGTCGTCCAAATAGTAAAGGGTTATCATTAAAGTGAAACATTGATTGGAACTCTAGGGGTATTGTAAGGGGAAAAAAATCAAGGCGGAGGGCACATAGCATTATTCTTTAGAGTGCAATAAGTGAGATTAACAATAAGATTAGAACAATGTTTTAAGATACATTTTAAATGGCCTTTTATATCTTACCTCCTCCTGTATAAACAATGTATTTGACCGTAACGTAATTGTTATTATGTGAGCAACGTCCAGAATATACTATGTATTTTATCCGGTCGGATGTGCGTATACATGATGCATGCTAAGGGGAAGATTTAAAGTGCACGTTGTTACCAACTATCGCTCTTACTCCACCCCAACCCCATGGAAATAATAATGGATAAGCAAAAAAACAAAATTCCCATTTATATTTATACGAAAACATAATAAATGCGTTTCATTTGTTGCTTATGGTGTCGAAAAAGCGGGCCAAAGGGTATGAAATATAATTTAGAAACGTGTTGGTGAGGTCAAAATTGTGTAAAGGTGTAAAACAAAACATAATTTGTTAAAGTTTTGACCACATTTTAGCTTTATTCTTCGTTTCTTTATTACAATGTACTTAAATAAATTGTCAGTTTATTGTGGATTCTAAATAATCAAAAAAGAGCAAACAGCCCTTCAGCAATATAATAATGCACTGAGGTAAATATCAGATATAGAAACTTCATTAAAATGTCTTTACCACTTAAAAAACAGCTCACGCATCACGATTAGCAACCTTAATTGATTTTAATTATATAATTATTATGATGTCGAATTTTATTATTACCTTGTACAACCACTAACACATTATTTGTAAATCCCGTTTCTCTACCACAATAAACTCCGTAACGTCCGTTCATACTACTGTTGGCCATAGATAAAGTAAATGTATATATCCCATTTTCTTTCTTATTTTCAATGTAAATATCATCTTCAATGTTTATATTAGATGCAGATCTATCTTTTGATCGAACCCACAACTGGCGCCTAAAATTGTTAGGGTTTTCCATGACATCTTTAGACGGATAATATTCTTTAAATATATAATTCTCGTCCTCCAATACACGTTCATTTCTAAGGTAAAGGGAAATCCATCAGGATTCCTTCTCCTTACTTTGGGCTATCTTTGAAAAAAAGACTGTTAGTTTTCTTATCGAAAAAACCCAATTCAAAAGAATGCTAGTTTGTTCTCCCTATTGACAGGAAAATATAGATAAAACAATCAATTCCTATTTTTTCTAGAGGTACAATTAGACATAAATTGTTCTTCATATTGATTATTATTTCTATGAATTTATAGATCTAAAGTATGAAGAAACAGAATGCATATGCCTGTTTCCAGCGATTGATTATGAATTTAAATTCGGCAATATAATGTTTGTAAAGATATAACTGTTTTGATATGGTAGCTTACATTTTTTTCTTACTAATTGTTGCAAACCCCGTGTCTTTGTAAATGCAACTTGCCCAATTTTTTTATATAAACAAATTTTATAAATACTTATTATTTCTTATTTTTATACTCATGTACTGTTATTTCGTCCGCGGAGAATGGGAGTTTTAAATCTTCGAAAAAATAGAAGTTTAAAAAAAGCGGGTTTTATCCATTTTAAAATAAGCGAAAAAAATAATCGAAAGGGTTTCCTTTTGCTGATTGGTGAGTAAGTGGGGCAAGCATTTTTTTTTTGTTCGGGAAATAACAATTGCCCTAAAAATCAAGTTTTAAGCCCTTTTCCCGCTTCCATTTAACGTGCATGCTTTTTGTTTTTTAAAAATGTAAACCCGGGAATGAACCCTCCCCATCTTTAAATAAACTGTCTGTTAGACCTTGCTAGTAATATTTTTTCATTAATAATTAGTGAATTTGTATGTTTAAAGGACGAGTATAAACCATGGGGTTCCTTTTAGTGCACGTTGCCATTCGAGAATTGCATCTGGATCCCTGTGAGTCCCGGGGAAAAGTTTAAACGTTA